AGAGAAAACGACCATTGTGACGTAGTGATACGACTTTACATTTGGTGACGTTGAATTCAATAGCATTGGAGACAGACCATCTGTGGGCTTCGTCAAGGGCGTTCTGAAGGTCAAATAGCAGGTAACGCACATAACTACTCTTAAGTAATCTAAAGTGAAATCACGAAATTCTTCATATTTTTTTGCTCCCGACCGAAATCCAATAGTACGTAATGTCTCCAGTGGACAGGGATAACGGTGATAAATTGCAACCAACTGCTTCTGCGGTCCACTCCCCGCGGCCACAGACTACAAATAAACAAAACATTGAGGTCCACTTACCGGGAGAGCAGTCATATCACAACTATTTAGACTGAACATGGTGTCGGCCAACAAAAAATCCATAAACGGTCGTTCACAATCCTCCATTGTCAGAATCGGAAAATGTCTGATCAGACCGATATTGATACGTCGAATCGGACTGTGTGCAATCAGTTCAATCAGACGTGACACAGGAATTTGAAGAGGCTCACCGAACACCAGTTTGTTTAGCTTAGCTGTGCTGGAATAATTGAGCATCTATTTAAAAAAGTGAAATAGAAACAGACGAATACGTTCAGATGGAAATGGATTAAAGTTCATCCTGTTTGTACGGTTTTATATAAGAACACATAATACAATTAAGCTTGGTTGTACGATTAGAATTTGTTTATTCTTAAAGTCAGTATGATAGTGTTGCACACATAAAATTAAACTTCCTTAAAAGCACGGTGTCTCGCGATTTCATTCTGCTTGTGTTTGGAGCCATGAGCACCGAGATTTCGATTTGGAGAGCACTGGTGGTTCCGGAATCAGACAAGTCTCACATTTAACCGCTTTTGTTCGGAAAAAGTCAGTTTATCATACATATAGCCCTCATATATCGTTCACCGTCATAGGTCGACCCTTCGATGTACGACTTATCGATACCAATTTACTCAGGCTCTGGGTTACAGTGTACCACCGCCCGACAGTTGATGGAACCTTTGTCCGAAATCCCATGCAGAACGGATTGTTGCCATTAACCCCAGTTATTTAGTGTTATGTTAGACAGTTAGGTTCAGTTATGTTACCATAGCTACGGTTAAAGTGCGATATTCATACCCATCATGAAATATTATTACAACACAATAAAATCCTTACGTTCTCTAATCTCCACTATGATAATAGCTGTTTTTGGGATATCTGTGCACAACACATTTAGAGCAATTTGAAAAATCTACCAATGACATTGCATGAGGCCTCACAGTGGTTGGAGGATGGCTTTACGTAAGAAACGTATGTCCCAGATGTACGTTTACACTATAAGCAACAGCAACGTCCGTTGGCTGCTTGGAATTCTCGTAGATTTTAGTGACCTCATTCGACGTGCAGCAAATTATCAATTTCGATTTACAGTCTTTCAGAAAACCTGGCTGCATGAGGAAATAGATAATCAGATTGTCACACTTGATAATTTTACGACCATATTTCTTTGATCAATCCGTCCAATCTCAAAAGCGTGGAGGAGGTATTATATTAAGAATGCCTGGTGCAACAATGCCACTATTTCATTTCGTGCATCTACTCTACACAATAACAATCATTCTTGAATGCAAGCCGAGATATCTGGGCAATTACCGGTAAGTTATTCTCTCAGCCGTACAAATATCCAATATCTAGACCCCAGATGAATTTTCCGAGTTTTCAAATTCGTTCTCTGTCGTTTTAACAGACCAACTAGATATTTCTCTTCGTATAATGTGTGGTGATTATGATAACTTTATTACCCAATTTTTAACTATGCTAATTTTGAAACATTTATGAACCCTCCTCACAAGGATGAATGTCACTCTTGATCTATTTTTTTCGTAAACAACCTTGAAATGGTTTCAGTTTCTCATCGATCTCCCATTGGGCAATTCGATCGCTTTGCCGCTAAGATTTCCTGCCCAACCCCCCCCCCACCCCTAATGTTTCATCTCGTTTATCCACTAACATTTTACCGTTACCGAGACCATAAGCACCAAAGGCGCAACGTAACCCCCCGAAAATTATGAGACTCAAGATTATGGTTGCTTTGACAGATTTTTTTGTATTTTCCAAACCCTGAAATGTCAACCGGCCGTCTTCCCTCAACTGACTATCTTAAATTTCAGTGCAATTCTTCTGTCCATAAGAAATATCCTACACGCGATATGGTACTTTTTGTTCTCCTTCATTCCGAAACAACTGCGTCGGAAAAAAGAAACAATCATTTGATAAAGACCTTGTCAAGGGTCATTGAAAGGGGAATTCGCCGCCTAAATTTCGTTTATATTCAACAACTTCTTTCGAACAAAGACCCTCGAGGAACTTAGTGAATGCTTCAGCAGTTTTACGGCTTCTCTATCATTGGGCTCCAGTCCTTGGATGACCGATTTGATAGAATTATTTGATCAGCCACAATACCTTATCCTCAAAAAACTGGAGAACCAGGTAGATGACACCTAAATGTGTTGAAAGAATACGCTACTGCTCTGTCACCTATCCTGTTCAAAATCTTCAACCGTTGTATTTCCCAGTGATCACTAGTACTTGCTGGAGAACAGTCAGTATTATACCAATTCTTCAAGAATTGCTCCACTAAATTTCATCCCATAGCCTGCCCTTCGACAGCCCTGAAGGTAGTTGATAAAATAATTTTACACCCCCACAGTTGAATATACCTGATTGCAATCAATTAGCCTACTGCCGAGCATTTTTATTCTGTTGCCATTTGATGATAAACGTAACTATGTAAGAATGTGCTTCTTAGACTACAATTACGCATGAAAAATTGTTGTCAGAGTTCAGCTTCGGTATATTCATGCGAACGATAGACTCGCTTCCTTATCCTTCTTAATGACTATTTTTTCGAAATCAGTTTACAAGCTACTGCGGAAGTCTCCTCAGCCTTAATTTCTCAATCAGGGCTCCTTCAAGGAGCAAGTTTTTCTTCTTTTTTCTTTTCCACTTAATTAGCTTCTATGCCAGTTTCTAGTGACCCACTACTAATAACGTTAATCTTGGGTCACCTCATTCAAGGAACTCTGACATCCTCACTATCCAGCTAGGTACCTCATAAGTAAACAAGTAGTCCTCTATGCACGACCTTTCCATAAGCACATCTAAATGTGTTGATGCTTTATTTTATCTCCATAGGATCAATTCACACTATGGTTCTCTTTCGATATGCCAATCACTATGCATTAATGATACACCCCGGAGTTGGGGAATATCAGTTAAAGACTTGAGTGGTTTTCTTAACTATAATCTTTCTTGATGTGAGCACATCAATAATGTCGTTGCTATAGTCAGAAATCAGACTAACAGGATTGAGATATTTCACTGGGGCATGATGCACGCTGATGTTGTATAAGGAATAAAATCCTAATTACACAGCTATGAACTCCGAAGTTTAATCAACTTATCATTATTATTACAATCAACCTCCTGGTATGTCGCACCCCTGATAAGTCGCATTTTCCAATGTCTTCCCACTTTATGGAAAACCCAAACCAACTGTATACTTTGTAATGTAGCTCCTGACTATGCGATGTCGCACCACTCAATATGTCCCAGTTCCTGATACGTACTCACTTGGTCGTTGACCGATGTTCGAGACAACCAGTGACCATCCACTCTGAAATGTCGCACTCAACCAATGGCGTTCCACCTAGTGTGATGCGTTCATGAAACTGTTAACTGATTGCACAATCCTTGCGAGGAAGTCACACCGATGTAAAGGATCGGAGACAGTGTTATTTGACGTCAAAATGTGCAAGCGCTTATCGATCAAAGAGAAGCAGAATGTGTTGGAATTGATGAAATGGCCAGGTGCAACTCAGAGCTCCCTAGCCAAATTTCTTGGAAATTCACGAAAAACTGTCTACAATGTTGTATCCCATCGAACGACTATAGGGGAATTTTTGAACGCTGGAGCATCTGA